CTCTGCTGATAGTTTCTTTTGCTCTGCAGAAACTCTTTAGTTTAATTAGATCCCATCTGTCAATTTTGTCATTTTTTGCAATTGCTTTTGGCAAACCTGTACTTTAATATGGCTTTGTCCCTCTATGGGCTTTGCGACTATCAACAGGATATTGACTCTTTTAGCATTTCAGTTTCCTCGTGTAGATGGGAGAAACAACATATATTTTGGTAGATGTTATAAATGTGGGTTCTCCTCTCCTTTTCTCTGTAAAGGGAATGGCTTGGTACGGCAACACAGGAAGACATTATAAAGAAGTAAATATGCTTTATTGGAACACAAGGTTGAACAGAACCCTTGGGAGGGAGTAAGCAGGGTTTTATGGAAGATGGTGTGGGAGATCTGAAGTTTCATTTCTTTAAGGGGATGTTTGTTGGTGGAGTTTGGGGACGTCATTTGATGAGTCAGATTTTTCATCCATGATATCTTTAGGACTTGTTCTGTGCATTTGGCTTCAGCCAAGTTTGGATTTTATGTTTTCCTTGTGACTGCTGTTGGGCATTACCCGTGTGACTCTTGGAAGTGTTTTGTTTAATTTAATTTAATTTAGGAGAGCTAAATAATTAAACATGAGGCCAAAGTACATAAGAAAGTGGCAGTCTTTTATTGCAAATATGCGCACACTCTCGGGCGAGGTTCTCTGGTCCTCAGGTGTTGGGGGGGCCAGGGAAGTCGCACCGGCGCTCTCAGGTGAAGGTCTCCGGTCCACGAATGCGGGGGCCGAAGAAGTCATGCTGGCTCCTGCCAGCGGGGGACTTTTATGCTTTGGTACTGGAAGGGGGAGGGCAGTGGGCGGGATAAGGGTGTGATAGGGGCGTCTCCGTAGGCGTGGCCGGGTAAGTTTCGATCTCTTTGGATTGATGTCACCTGGCACATGCTCGGTTGATCTGCATCTTCCTGGGCATGGGCTGCATTTTCCCACGCACGGGAAAGTTGGTGAGGAAGAACCTGGAAGCAACAGGGGCGGTGCCTTCTTGTTTACCTTCCTCCATCTTGTCCCTTCTCCCTCACCCAAACAGGAAGGTGATGGTTTCTGGCCACCATTGAAGACGGTTCACCATCCAAAACTGGCTCAGTTTGGATTATTGTGGCTGCCACATTGTGAGGCACACATGGGGATTTGGTAGGTTCTGTCTTTTCTGCCTTTTGGAATCTAACTTTAAATTTAAAAAGATAGCCAACTTTTCTACTGTATTTCTGATTTAATACCATGTCCCTCTTCCAATCACCTCTTGTTAGTCTTTAAAAATGGGCTCAGTAAAGACCATAAGGATTCCCAAAATCCTGAAAAATACTGAGTTTCTGACCTCGTTGGTCAGAACTGTTGGAACAGTAATGAAAGCAGTAAACTGGTACCTCCATTAACTCACTAACTTCTCTTCATTCTACGGAAAAAGGTGGAGTTGGTATGGGATGCCTCATTCCTAAAGTATAGGTGATCAGAATTCTGGTGGCAGCATGAAGCCACTTTACCACTATATGCAGTTTTACTATGTGCATTAGGTTTTGCTTGAGGTATATAAATGAGGAATAACTTGAGTCATCACCATTTGATTTTCAAAATTCAGGTCTTTACATTAATCTTAGTATATTCAGGCTGCTATGAAAAAATACCATAAAAGTAGTGGCTAATTTGCAACATTTATTTCTTACAGTTCTGGAGGCTAGGAAGTTTAAGATCAAGGCAGTGGCAGATTTGGTATCTGGTGAGGACTGTCTTCTGGGTTGCAGACTGCTGACTTGTTGCTGTGTCCTCACACGGTAGAAGGGGCAAGAGTCTTCCTTGGGCCTCTTTTATGAGGACACTAATCCTGCTCATGAGGGTTCCTTTCTCATGACCTCATCATCTCCCAAAGGTCTCACTTTTTGATACCATCACCTTAGGGGTTAGGTTTCAACACATACATTTTTGGAGGACACAAGCATTCAGACCGTAACATTAGACTGTCAGTTTGTTAAAATTAGAGATAATGTATTTTTCAGCCTCTTATTCCTAGCATCCTGGCATAGTGAAAGCACTTAATATTTGTTTGTTTGCTGGAAATCAAGCTTGTTAGATGTGGCGAGAATGACTAGGTATAGGTAACATATATTAAAAGATGTGGGTGTCAGCAATTGCAAAAATCTGAAAACAACCCAAATGCCCATCAATCAATGAGTAAAGAAACTATGATACACACACACACACACACGATGGAATACTACTCAGCCATAAAAAGGAATGAATTAATGGCATTCTCAGCAACCTGGATAGGATTGGAGACTATTATTCTAAGTGAAGTAACTTAGGAATGGAAAACCAAATATTGTATGTTCTCACTCATAAGTGGGAGCTAAGCTATGAGGATGCAAAGGCGTAAAAATGACACAATGGACACTGGGGACTCAGTGGGAAAGAGTGGGAAGGGAGTGAGGGATAAAAGACTACAAAGTTCATTTTATACTGCTTGGGTGAGGAGTTCACCCAGATCTCACATATCACCACTAAAGAACTTACTCTTGTAACCAAACACCACCTGTTCCCAAAAACCTAAGGGAAAAACAAAAAAAAAAAATAATATATATATTATATACTATAACCTAGTATTATATATTTATTTATTTGTTTATTTTTTTCGAGACGAAGTCTTGCTCTGTTGCCCAGGCTGGAGTGCAGTGGCGTGCTCTCGGCTCACTGCAAGCTCCACCTCCTGGGTTCATGCCATTCTCCTGCCTCAGCCTCCCAAGTAGCTGGGACTACGGGTGCCCGCCACCCCGCCCAGCTAATTTTTTGTATTTTTGGTAGAGATGGAGTTTCACCATGTTAGCCAGGACTGTCTTGATCTCCTGACCTCGTGATCTGCCCACCTCGGCCTCCCAAAGTGCTGGGATTATAAGTGTGAGCCACCACGCCCAGCCTAATAAAACGTTATTTTAAAAAGATGTGGTTTTCAGGAGGTGATTCAGTGTTGGAAGTGAAGGTTGATTTGAGGCCCACACTTTGAGTAAGACGGCTGTAGAGTGTCTTTGGTGATGCTATACTATTACACCCAAATTTTCCTTCTGGCCTCACAGTGCCATTGATTCTTTTATAACAAGGAATTGCCTTTTAAAAGGCGCTCTGTGCTCATTATTTCCTTTAATCTTCACAACAACCCCTTGGAGTAGTTGTATAGAATTCATGAGTCTCATACCTGTGAAGAGAGACATCAGTGAAGAGACTTGCCCCAAGTCAGTCAGTGGTAGACACAGATGGGACAAGCATCAGGTTTCCTATTCTGAATTGAATATGGTGACCCTGATATTGAAGATTTATTTTTTAGTGTTGTGGAGAAGAATTGCCTTCATTTCTCCCAAATGCAGTGACTATTTGTTATTCCATTCATCAGCTCCTTATTGAGTACCTAATACATATTGAATTTATTTGTGTATGTACGCACTGGGGATACAGAGGTGGATAAGATAGACCCAGCTTGTGTCCTCAGTTGTCAAGACACAGTCTTGCATTGCTTAGCAGGATGACTTCTGCACTCCTTGTTGGAGCTTCTTTTGAGAACTTCTGGGCCCAGAGATTGTGTGTGATGTTGTTTTCTCATGTTCTATGATGTCTGGGATCTTCAGAGCCTGTTAGCCAGCTGGCTCCAGGAACCTACATGTCATGGGTCCCACATGTGAACTTCTTTGTGCTGGGGGTCTTGAGGTCTTTCCAGTTGGTGACAGGAAACATTCCAGGTGTGAGTGGCTGACCCTCAGAATAGAGAAAGGGTTTTGTTGGTTTGTGTTTTGTTTATTTGGATTTACATCTGGGTCTCTTAGAACTGACATTTTCATAATCTGTTCCTTCTCTGCATTATGTTAATAGACTTTTCTGGGGCAGGAGGAATTTAGTGGATGTCATTTGTTAGCCAAGGTATATGTGTGCTGTTTTTTTTCTTCTTCCCTCCTGCCATCAATCAAGGGATTTCTTAGTTTCTTATCTGTGAATCACTCGGGCTTCCACTTATTGCCAGTTCAGTTTCCTCCTTGCCCATCCTCCCTTCTCTTTTCTCCTCTCCTTCCCCCATTTCCCTTCTTTCCCTCTCCCCACCACACTTTCCTTTCCCCCTCTGCCTTTTCCTCAGATTCTTTTGAATTTTTCTTGATCTGCAACAAGCCAGGTCCTTTGTTAGGCATTAGTGTTAGACATCAGTGATGAATAAAAGGTTGTTCTGCTCTTCCAGGAGCTAGATAAGGGCCTGGTTCAGCTTCTTAGTATTCAGGGAATGGATTCCCCGCTTACTCCCTTCCTTCCTTCGGATGCCACAAAATGAACACTTGACTGAAAATATGCTTATACTCCTTTTTACAGACTACGCCAAGCCACAGGTATGTCTAGATGAAAAATGTGTTGGGCCATTGCTATAGACTCTAAAAGTTTGGGGAACCGTGGAAGTGTTTGGGTTTCTTTTGAGCCAGTCTTGGCAACCTTAAAACTTTTAGAAATGGCTCCCCTTAGAGTGAAAGGCTGAAAAAGAACCGAAGAGGAGGCCCTAAGAAATTTTCATGTTTAGAGGTAAAGTTTTGGTTGGCAAGCTGTTCTTTTCTTCCTGGGTATTGTTGGTAGAGCCCAGAGAACCAACATTTTTGCCAAATCATCTCTTTCCTTCTCATTTCAAATTTTCCCACCGTCTTAGAGCATGTGAGAATTGTTGAAAGTGGTATTCAGTCCTTTCTGTTAAGAAGACTGAGGTGGGCAAGCTAAACTCATTGTTCATCTTTTTCCTTCTCAATCTTAGCAAATCCCTCATTGCAGTATAACTAACTAAATAAATTTCACAGGACTTGTATACATCAACTCCCAGCAAAGTCCAAAGATCAAAGTTGAAAGAGGATACTGAATTCCTTCCCAGATTTCTGGGACACTGCTTCTGTGGACTGTTACCAAATAGATCCTGAAGGAGTGGCCCCTTAAGAAATAGGGTAAGCTCATTCACTCCTGGGAGATTGTCATCCTAGGCAGCAATCTTAATGCTCTTAGATGCTTCAGAGGGAAAGAAGGAGAAAAGTATAAAAGAACAATCCCCACATGATCGGTTTTTAGCTGAGTATTTGTAGCTTGTACCCCCTTCTTAGGATTGTTAAAATCCGTTTGCAAAGGACAGCCCTCTATTTCCAGGTCCCCTTTTCCTTTTTTCACACTGCATTTGAGCAGTTTGCACGTTTGTTGAAGAATCAGCCACAAAGTCTGTGGTTTCCTGTGGCAGATTTCTAACAATATTTATACAGGCTATTATTTAATGAACTGTATAAATATTTATACAGAACAGTCTTTTGATCATAAATAGGGGCTAAAAGTCAGTCCTGTCCATGCTGGGGACTTGGACAGGAGGCTGTTTCTGTGCTTTGAAACGTCTTGTAGACTGAGAAGTTTAGATATGTCCCAGGACTTGTGCGCAGCACAGCTTGAATTTCTGTTATTTTTCTTTCTCTTGGCTGTCCACAGTCCATGCCCTCATTTCTTTCCGCCTGACCACCCTCCCCATATCCCTAACAGCTGTTTTTCTTTTCAGAGTATTTATCTTTGCCTAAAAAGAATGAAATGAAACCCCAGTTCCGACTCTCACCATTCATAATGCGGGCTTTGGAGTCACATTGACTTAGCCTCAAACCCCAGCCCCTCTGCTTCTGTGCCATGCAACTTTAAACAGCTTCCTGTCTGAGAACGTCACTTTCCTTAGTTGGGAAATGGGGTTCATACTGCCTACCTCACAGGGTTGCTATAGGATTAAATGAAATCATGGAGTCACATGGTGATCTACAGCTCAGAGCTCAATAGGTATTTCTTGCTGCATTTGTTGTTCTTATTGAAGAAGTAATCAAAGGGTTTGGCTTTCATTTTTAGTTGGATGTTGTGGAAGGAGCCCTAAACTTGCGGTAAGAGACTGTGATTCAAATCCTGATGCCATTTACTGTTTGTGTCACTTTGGGCAAATTACTCCACCCTGCTGAGGTATAATAAAGTGGTGATAGGTTTACCAAGCTGATTGGGTTTCAGTGAATGAGATTAACATTGTATGGGAATGAGGGACACGATGAGGATCCTTATCCTTTTTTTCTTTACAAACTAGAAAAAGGAATAATGTTTTCCACTTTGCAGTTACTTTACTTTTTGAGGCTAAGGGGTACTGGTTGCATAAGATTAGAAGTCCAGGACGCAGCAGATCATATTCGTGACCCAGGAACAAAGGGCATAGAGGGGGAAGATCAGGGGACCTGTGATGCAGAAAGTCCTCTGCTGCAGCTCACAGGTCGAATTTCAGGGAAGCTGCCCAAGGGCTTGAACGTCCCTGCTTTCAGGTTCCAGGTATGGAAATAATCATAGAGATCAGTTAGAACTATAATAATGGGAAAAGTGGTGAACCCGAAATATTTAAGTAGGATCTATTTCATAGGAAAACATGAACTGGGTGATGTGTGTGAATGACGCTGGGACAGTTTGACTCTTTCTTGCATGGTGCCTTGATAATGTGTTATAGAAATCCATAGTTTGCTGGAAGCAGGCCACCTGGTATTATGGAAGGGTCAGTCTCTAAAGATGAATAGCCTGGGTTCTGAGTCAGCCAATCTTAGGCACAATAGGCAGAGGCCCCCAGCAGAGTCCTTGACAAATGGGCATTTAGTAAATAGAGGAATAGCAGGAGGCAGTGGAGCATCCTGAGAAAGGTTAGGGCTGATGGAACCAGAGGGAATGGATTACTGTCCATTGTATTACTGCCTAGTAATATGACTACCTGTCTAGGACTCATTTTCCTCATCAGTAAAATGGGAGTGATCATAGTTACTGTCTTCAAGAATTGTGGTCAGACATTGTAATCAAGCTGCTTAGCAGAATGTCAGATACATGGTAAACATGGTATCTTTTTTTTATTTCCCCAGTGATGAATTTTAAAGACACCCATTCACTGATGTACAAGGACTTACTGAGCTCCTGCTGTATGCCAGGCACTGGGCTTATAGCTGTGACACAGGCGGCAGCTGGAATTAACTGTAATCATACACCTCCATTCTCCATGTAAAGGGGGCTCTTGTGAAGGGTGGGCTCCTTCCAGAAACCAGAACTGGAGCAAGTCCAGGGCCAACTGTAGAGTGGAAATCTGCCTCTTTGCATTTTACTGGAAAGGAATCAGGATGTGGGTAGGGTGGTAAGATGATGTATTTTCTCATATTACTCTCTTCATCAGAGAGGGAGTCAAAAGTGAGGAACCCAAGCCTGAGCACCTGGGCCAGCCCCATGGGGAATCTCTCTTGTCATCAGAGCTGGCTGGAGTAGAGACAAGCCTGGATGCTGGCTGGCCAGGTCTGTGTAAGCCAGGGTGTTGCATAGATTTTTCATTTCCTATTTATTTCTTTGTTTCTTCCTAAGTGTTTATAGTAGTCTTGCAAAGGTCTAGCCAAGGGCAAGGAGTTGTTAGCATGCTAGGATCAGTGTTAAGGAGCAGCACCCCTGGGGGCCTTTGCAGTAGAGACAGTGGGAAGCCAAGAGAGGGGATTCCAAGTAAAGTAAGCAGCTGTGAGAGGTTGGTAGAGTGGGAAGGTAGAGTGGCTAGCTTCAATCTTCTTCCTGTTTGCAGGTAATAAAATTGAGGAAACTCAGCGAAGGCATTGCCCCTATTTTGTCAATCAGTGTATCCTCAGCAGGCTTCCTGGTGTTACTGTCTTCTGCATTTCTTCTGAGTCTCAGATGTCACCGATTGCAAGATGCACCATTATTTCGTATACCATGAAGTAAGAAAGGAAATGATACCAATTAATTGTAACATACCATTGATTGTAAGGTTCGCACTGATTTTAGAGAAGCTAAATATGGAAAAATGAGTGCCGTAGAATGAATAAAATGTGGTTGTCGCCTACAGTAAGTATTTGTGAACTAGAAGAATGAATCATAAGAGATTAAAATAAGGTAAAACACTAGCACATATAAGTACAAACTTAGAAATTCAAACTATTAAGGCATAGACCTGCTCATCCTTATTTCTGTTGATTCACTGATGCAGTTGTTCATTCAGTAAACATTTACTGAAAACCTATTATGTGCCAGACACTGTGTAAGGAGCTTGGGATGCAGAAATTGATAAGTTCATTTTTTTCAGATTCAGTTAGGAAGACAGACATGGAAAGAAAAATAAAATTGTGATTCCAGAGTGGTAAGTTTTAAAAGAAAGCAGGGACACGATACCATGTTGGCATCCTTTGTATGTATGCAAGGGGAGAAAGGTAAGGAAGCCTTTTCCAAGGAGAGGTGATGGCTGACCTGGGTCTTAAAATATAATTCCGTGGTCACTGGGCAGACAAGGAAAGGAGAGAATTAGAAAGGGATGAGCAAAGGATCGGGGAGGCCTTTAGCAGTTGGGGGCAATTGAGAGCCTATGAGGAGTTTGAGGATGTCTGTAGCCTGGAGTGAGAATGAGCAGGACTGTATTAGGCAGGGCTGGATGGCAGGCAGAGGGAGCCCGTGGAGGGCGTGAGATGCCGAGCTGAGGCCATGGGCTATATCACAGCTCAAAGCTGGTGGTTTTCAGTTGTCCTGAGAGAGGACCTAACAGAGGGACTGCTGGGGAGAAGGGCTGGAGGGTGGGGCAAGGGTGATCTTTGCTTCAGAGCAGCTCTCTTTTTATCTGTTTTGTTTTCTTCAAATAATGGCTTGAAGAGAAGGTATCACTGTTAAATGAATGATGGAATGAATGATTTGAAAACTGGTGCTAATGGTCATATGGAGGTCCCCAAGGGGAATGTAAGCGAGGGAGAGAAGTTGAGGTTACACACCAGCGTGGGTCTGACGAAGCTGTGATGAACGGAGCAAAATGTTATTACTGTCGCTTCTCCATTTTATTTTTCACCTGCTCATGAGCCACAAAGCCAAAAGGGTTACAATTCAGTTGGGGAATCATTGCGATTAAGACAGAAACAGTTACTTTTAATGGGTTGTTTTTATTGTTTTATTTGTTGTTTACTGGAATAAATATCTAGGAAGCAGTATACTGAATATCTGGTGGTTGATTTTCTTTTAGAATCTCCACTTTTGACTTGGCTAGGGAAACATTTTCTTTCTGAAGTTGAAGGGTACAGAAGGTTGCCCAGGTTGAAATTAGACTCTGGGCGGTGGGACTACCTGGAGCTCACCTGGAGAGTTGTAAGGCTTTCACCTGCTCAGTTGTCTTGGGAGCTTGTTCTTATTCTTTCAAAGGCCGATCTGGAAAATAAAAGCCTCTATGAGATTCCATGTCATGCGGGCTAATCTGACCAAAGGGACTTAGAGCAGCCATGAAGGCCAAGGAATTCCTGAGTGTTCTCTGGTCAGATTTCCTTGTAACTCACAAGGGGTCTGTAAGGAAAACAGATTGTCTAATTAATTCCTGATCTTGTCTCCTCAGGGTTCCTTCCCAATTCCCAGTCACTTCATGACACAGCTGCAATATATTTGCCTCTTCTCCAAACCTATACTGAAAGCTTTTAAGAAACAAAAGAAAGAGCATGAGACTTGGGATTGCACAAATGTGGGACTTTAGGTCCAGGCTGCCCCTGAATGAAGCTGATTAAATTCCTTAACTTCTCATAGACTTGCTTCTTAATCAGTGTAGTGTATATCATTATAATAATGTACATTTACTGTTTGAATTTATGCATAGACCTAGCTAGCATTAAGCAAAAAGTTACTCATCTCTTGGATTCTCACCTTGACCACCTGTAACATAGAAATGTAAATAGCCTCACCTTCTGGAGTCATAGTGAGGAGTAGAGGGGACATACACACTTTTCACAGTGCTTACACATAAGAGGTACTCAGTAGGTAATTGTTGAATGAATGACTGACTAGGAGGACAAGGTTCCTTTTCAGTACTGTGGCTTCTGTCCTTGTTGATTGAAATTCACTGAGAAGAAACTCGTCTGTATTGCCTCCAGATTCTAAGTTCTCCTACCACTCTGTACTTGCCCTTATAGCACTCATCACAACTTTGCCTAAATAATTATGTATTTAAATGCTTAATGTCTGACTCTCTCTCAAGAATGGAAATGCCATGTCTGAGGCCATATCTGTCCTGTTCACCCACCATGTAGCTCAATGTTTATTAGTATACTGTTAGCGCTAAAAATGTTTGTTGGATGAATAAATAACAAATGGCTACCAGTTAGATAGTGGTACCTCTTTTATTTCTACTTTTGAGATGTTTTGTGACTGTCTTTGCAGATCTACTTGGTCTTCATTTGGTTTTTACGCTTGCTTACTATAGGTGGAGGAACTGCAATGTCTGGTGGAGAACAGAAACCAGAGAGGTACTATGTGGGTGTGGACGTTGGAACAGGCAGTGTCCGCGCAGCTCTGGTGGACCAGAGTGGGGTCCTGTTGGCTTTTGCAGACCAGCCAATTAAGAAGTGGGAGCCCCAGTTCAACCACCATGAGCAGTCCTCTGAGGACATCTGGGCTGCGTGCTGTGTTGTTACAAAGGTATGGGCAAAACTGATGTTCTCTCCTTGTTCATGTTCCTACCTGCTGAGTGTTTGTCCTGTGTCATTCTGGTGCCACAAACTATGTTGGGGTAACTTTAGATGTAGAGGTAAATAGGCCTTGCCCTTCAGGAGCTCACAGTCTACTGGCAGAGACTGATAAACCGCTAATACATGGTAAGAGCTGGAAACAAAGTAACTATAGCTGGAGCTGGGGAAAGAGCTAACCGAAGGGGGCTCGGGGAAGACAGGACAGCTTGAGGTGTGACCACATGTGGAAGAATTCACTAATCACCTTACTAACATTTACCATGCCTTTAATGTGTGCCAAAGGCTGTGTAAAATGTGTTAACTTGCACTGTGTAGTTGGATCTTCACATGACCCTATAAAGGTAGTACTATCACTACCCCCATTTTATTGAGGGAGAAATGTAGGCACAGAAAAGTTAGGTAACTTACTCAAGTTCACACAGTATGTAGCAGAGGCTGGACTAGAACAAAGCAGTCTGACTCCAAAGGTGCACTCTTTTTTTTTTTTTTTTAATTAAAAAAAAATTCTATGGGTTTTTGGGGAACAGGTGGTGTTTGGTTACATAAGTTCTTTAGTGGTGATTTCTGAGATTTTGGTGTACCCATCACCCAAGCAGTGGGCACTGTACCCAATGTGTAGTCTTTCATTCCTCACCACCCCACAACGCTTTCCTCCGCGTCCCCAAAGTCCAATGTATCCTTTTTATACCTTTGCCTCAAAGGTGCACTCTTAATCAGTGGACTCTCCTGCCTTCCAAGTGGACAAATGGGGATGAGAGGAACTGCATTTTGGGCAGAGGGAATAGCATATGCAAAAGCATGGTGGCATGAAAACATGGTGTGTTCTGAGAAAGCAAAGAAGTCAGACTGGAGTGTCTCCCATTGATGCCAGGCATGTGCTCACCTTGAGTGGCCTTGGATTGGATGCAGCCTGCTGGCTTGGGAAGGGAAGCAGTGCTTCACAATTCTTGTTTGTTTTTAAAGTTTCACTTGACTTTGATTTTATATCTTGGTGATCAGTCATGGCAGAGATCCTTTTGTCTTTTTTTCCATAGGGAAAAATAAAGTCCTGGATTCCTTCTTTCCCCTGTTCCTAGTTTAGTTCCTTAAATATTCATGAAGTGCTTGGTAATTTGCCGATGGACAATTCACCATTCTGTCCCTATTGATCAGTCTGTTTAAACTTTAATGAATTCTGGGCTGCTGTTAGTGGCCCTGGAGAAGAAGGCAGAGAGAGGAGGGAGTGGGTAGGCAGTACCAGAGCATTATACAGGAATGAAAGAGGGATGCATCTTCTCGTTTGCCCGTTTAATTTTCCTCTCCTCTCCCCTCCTTTCAGCCCCAATCTGGTAAGAATCTTCTACTCTTTGCACTTGGGTCTTCTTTTTTCTTTTAACATACAACCTTGCTTGCCGTTAAGGAAATTATCAAGAAGAAAATATAATCCCCTGATGAAGAGCTACTTTAAAAAAGGTCTACTCTGAGTACAGCTTGGTTTAATGGTAGATTTTTAATCATCTCCCAGTGGTGGCCAACTTATCATCTGTTTGAGCCCTGTTAGCTGCATAAGTACTGTGGGCATTTGTCGTTAGCAATGCTGTTAACACTATAGCAAACCTGAATGAAGCTCTTGGGTCTTAGGCCTATTCCTCACATGGAGTATGGATATGTGAGCATGTGCCAGAAGCCACGGGATAAGCATGTTGCATCTATGTGGAACATCATTGCTGCTGTGAGGCTTAAGGAAGGAAGCATTTTTATGTTAGAGAGGTAGTAACACCGTAGGAATGAGAGAGGTAGGCGACCTGTCATAGAGCACAGATTCTGCAGCCAGACTGTCTGGATGGACATCCCACTTACTATGTTTATTAGTCTGTGATCTTGGACAAGTTACCTAATGTTTCCTGCCTCAGTTTCCTTATCTGTAAAATGGGAATGATATTAGTACCTACTTCCATAGGATTGTTGTGAGGATTAAATGAATTAATGCACATAGAATGTCACAACATTGCCTAGAAACGTGTATTGGTTGTTTCCTATGGTGGTGCTGATGGCGACAGAAATGAGCAGATTATAGAGGATTATGAATTTCTAAGATAAAATACTGAAAAGTCAAAGTCCATGATGGGAGGCGCTTCTTGGGAATATTCACTCACTCTCCTGGTTAGGGTTCTTTCTATGTAAGACTTTGAGAAACACTGGTCTAGGGCAAAGGGTGGCATAAAACATGTCCTGGTCTGTATTTTCTTCTTCATGGACCCCAGGAAGTTGAGAGCTCAAGAGCAGTTGTTCTACTTCCTTTTCCCTAAGTTATTCACATTGCCTGAGATGACTTTCCTCTTAGTTAAAGCAGCAGTAAGGATAATGTGGTATCAATGATGGTGACAAAGACAGCTAACAGGTCTTGGGCACAGTGGTCCAGGTACTATACTGAAGAGCTTTACCCATCACTTCGTTTTATCCTTACGACAACTGCTTTTTAAGGTAGTTTTGATCGCTCTGTTTTGAAGATGGAAAAAGAATGAGCCTTGAAGAGGTTCAGTAAGCAGCCTAAGGACTCCTGAATAAGAAGAAGAAAGGGACGCTGCCCCTGCCACTGCTGCCGCTCTTGTGCTCTGTTCCTTGTCTCTCTCCAGTCATATCTCCCTCTACATGACCCCACCTGGAACTGATAAGAAGCAGCCTGAAGTTTTTAGATTTTCTACACATGGGGCATCGTGAGGTTACCCAGGATTACGAGTGCCTTTACCTGGTTGCCTGCTCATCTGGGAAGTGTGTGCCCGCTAAGCAGGGGTTATGTCTAGTTTATCTGTATTTCTCTAGAATTCTTTGCTTGTAATGTGTTCAAGCAATGTTTGTTGAGTACATAAATGAATGATATATCTCTGTTGTTTACATTGTCTGGAATACTCTTCTCTTACCTTCCTCACCTGCCCAACTCCCACCTTATAAAGTAAACTTAAACATTCCTGTCTCCTGAGTGTCTTCTTTGGTGACTTCTGACAGTCTATGCCCTTTTTTACCAACCTCAGAGGAAAGAGATGGTGAGAAGCCCTTCTCTACTGTCCAGTGCCTACCATCTTCACCCAGATCATTATCTACTCCTTATCTTTGCATTTTACTTGTTGACTTGTTTAGCCCCTTTTAAACTATAAGCTGAGCTCTTAGAGAGATTCATCTTTGTGTCTCCAGTATCTAACACATTGCCTGGCACAAATTAGGTGCTCAATTAATGGCTGTTGAATGCATGTTACTTAGAGCTAAAAACAAAGAGACAAAATCCAATCTAGCCTTCCTTATCTTGTTTCAGTGTCACTGTGGGACAGGAAGGACAACTATTCTTCTTATTTGAAATATGAGGAAATTGAGGCTCTGGAACTAACAAGTATTAGAGACAAGACCAGAACCCTGGTGAGATGGCTCCAAACCTTCCTCTCTGTCTTCCTCCCCACATCCCCTGAATTTGGCAGGTTTTACTGGGCTGGTACCCAGCACACCAAGGAAGTTTTATGGAAACTCACGAGTCATAGAGGTGATACACAGTCCATGATTTTAAAGATTCCTTTATGGAGCCACAAATCTTAATCATTCCAAAAAGGCGAGAACATTTCAAATTAGTGCATGATTCATATTAAACTTCTATTAGGAAGAAAGAGAAGGTAAACTGGAGGAATCATTTAGCCAACAGGTGTTTGTTGAGTATCATTCTTTCATTTAGTCTGCAAACATTTATTGAGCACCTACTATGTGTTATGCTCTTTGCTAAACATTGGAGCATCTAGAGGAGAGGTATCAAGAAGTCTGCTGCTTTTAAAGATGAAACAGCTTAGTTGTATGAGAAAAATAAACAACACATATGAAGCCAGTAAAGTAGCATTTTATTCTATCTTGGTACTGTCTATATGAGTAATGGTTGTGGCGAGGGGGACAGAAGAAAGAGTAGCCACATGTGGGGTTGAGCAATAAGGTTAACCTTATATTCATAGAACCATTATGGTTTACAGTGCATCTTCATTTACATTTGATTGCCATTGCAGGGTGAAGTAGGGAAGGAGTTGTTATTCCTATTTACATTTGAAAATCTGAGAGCCAGAGAGTTAAGTGATTTCCCCAAGGTCACCCAGGTGGTATGTGATAAGGCAGAACTCAGGTGGGTCAAACCTATTCATTCTCTCTATCTCTGGCACCATATACCTTTATATTTTGCATGGAATATTATTCTAAGAACCTAACTGATGTCTTGATATTCATTTTTCTTTTCTCTATTCTTTCATTTGAAGTGGTATTTTTCCTCTAGTGCTAACTTGTTATGTTACTCTTTTGCTTACAACCCTTCATCTACTATCACACTACTACAGGCATAAGTTCAGTTCCAGACCACCATAATGAGGCAAATATTGCAATAAAGTTCACATGAATTTTTGAGTTTCTCAGTGCATATAAAAGTTATGTTTACATTATATTGCAGTCTATTAAGTGTGCAATAGCATTAGTCTAAAAAAAGTATATAATTTAATTTTTAAAAATTGCCAAAAAATGTGTTAATCATCATTGAAGCCTTCAGTGAATTGTTATCTTTTTCCTGGTGGAGGGTTTTACTTTGATGTTGATGGCTGCTGACTAGTTAGGGTGGTATTTGCTGAAGGTTAAGTGGTTGTGGTAATTTTTAAAAATAAGGCAACATTAAGGTTTGCTGCACTGATTGACTCTTTCTTTCACAAAAGATTTCTCTATAGCATGCAGTGTTGTTTGATAGCATCTTATCCATGGCAGGACTTCTTTCAAAATTGGAGTCAGTTCTCTCAGACCTTAGCCTTATCAACTAAGTTTATGTACTATTCTAAATTGTTGTCATTTCAACATTGTTCATATCATCTTTATCAGAAGTAGATTCCATCTCAAGGAATCATTTCCTTTGTTCATCCATAAGAAACAACCCCTCATTTGTTCATATTTTATCGTGAGATTACA